GTTAAAGTTCATCGACGAAATTCGGACTAATTGTCTAAGTAAGTTGGGCAGAAACGTAGCATGAATACTATATTCGTTGGGTGTAGCATTTTCATTTACAGAAAATAAAATGGGAACATTCTTTCATAAAGGCTATGTGAATGTGTTATTTATTATAATAGCTCACTGGAATTGATAAAGCTGTAACTGGAATGACTGAGGCGACCGGAGTGATAATCTGCTCATTGACAGAATCTCTGAAGCATAACTGAATATACTTCAGGAGATAGAAACGCTAACTGAAGTATATAAATCTTTTTGATTGAGATCACGAACCGGTTGATGTTAGACTACCATTAAAAACCTGGAACCACTAGACGGCCGTTTCGTCCTATTGTGGGACTCCTAGTGAGAAGCCGTGACTAGTGGATATAATCCATGTCAGGTAGAGACAAGTATCTACCTCAAACAATGGAAGATGATGGTCGCGCAATTTCATGGATTAATTGAGGTTAGACATTAACACTGTTGGATGCCGGCTCAATAGTCTGGTGGTTAGGCGTTTGCGCGCGAGACCGGAGGCCCTTGGTTCGAATCGCGTGAGCGGGATCGTGTAGGTGCACTGCCGAGGAGTCCCATACTAGAAAGAGACGGCCGTCCAGTGCTTCTAGGTTTTCAATGGTGGTCTAACATTAACCGGTTTATGATCTGAATCAAAAATATAATAATCTCCACAATTCTATACTTATATAAATCTTTATCAGAAAACCAAGTTTGTGATTTACATATAAAGTATTTAACCAAATTACTATGAGAGTTTGTTTGTCAACTAACCAATGATAATCGAGTGTAAAACTAAAGATAATAGGAAAAACCAATGATTATTCAGTTTTGAAAGGCATGACCACATTAATTAATCTTAAAAAACTCTTTTAGGGTGACAGTGGTGGACCGTTGGTTTGTGAAGACGATGGTGAATATAAATTAGCTGGTATAGTTTCAGCAACACACTCCAAACTGCCCGCTGATTATCCGGCAATATTCACGCGCGTTTCTTACTTCACCAAATGGATAAATGATGTAATCAAGGAGAATGGATATAAGAAAAAACCGAATGGTCTATTTTCATTTTTAAAACTGCATAACTGAAAATTACTATTATTGTCAATTCTGTTACTACATGTCAATTTCCTTTTAAACAAAAGAAACTAGATGTTAGCTGTTCAGCCATGAAAACACTGATTCTTGATCTAAACTGTGCTAGGAAGTTGACAAGTTAAGTAGTAAAGGAGTTCAGATAACCGTGGTATCTGTGATAGTGTGAAAAACAACCTTAGGATTCTCTGTCTTTTGGAGACAGCATCGGTCGATGTCACGAGATTTATGGAGTAATGGTCAGTGATATCTACTGTTCGAATTAGTATGGAACTGGAGCCCTGGAATTTATACCATGCAGTTCAGAAGGTGGTTTCAGGGAATCTGGGATATAATTTTTTGAACTCAAACCATTAGTACTGGTGGTATGTGTGGGAGAATTTGAAAACAGATGAGGATCGATATTGTTAATAGAAGAAATATTAGGTAGCAAGGATTATTATTATTATTAATGACTTTATTCAATATTATAATCTAGTACAATATAGAATTCTCAGCACGAGTTATTTCAACAAGTTTTTTTTACCAAAAAAACAGAAATCTGAGTCTGTACAAATTATCAAATTTGAGAGATGCTTAAGAATACAGATTATTTACTAGGTCAACTCTAACAGCCTGTTCGTCACAAAGTATATTTGCTAGGTAAGGTATCACAGAACTTTTATAGACTTGTTTGTGTGTATGGATTTTAATGTATTTACGTCTCGTTCTACCAGAAGATATACAAGGAGAAAGATATGAATGAAGCGTATGGTTAGTATCTGATAAGATAACACCTGCCAAGAGTTTGCAAGACTTAAGATGTCTATCCACAAGCATATTAATAATGACTTCAAAAGATTCACCACACACCTTGCAAACTGCCTTCAGAACTCTCCGCAAAACAGCAAAGTCTTTTCTCAAAATCTCGGGAAAGAATAATGGAGAACAGTAAAGAATAATAGGTAATATGCAGGAATCTACAAATTGTAAGAGTAACTGGCGAGTAATCCCAAAAGCATGCAGCCTCTGTATGTAGTATGTCAAACGGTAAACTTTTTTCGATAAGAGTAAAACATGAGAAGACCAAGAAAGATCAGAGGAAAAAATAACACCAAGATATTTGACCTTCGACACTGTGTTTATCAAGGAGCCTCCAATGACACAGGCCTTATGGGATACCAAAATAATGTATAGGTTCTATCCATGTCTCAGGCTAAAGTTAACGGCTTGACATTTAGATGGATTAAGTAAGAGACCATTACCAACACACCACCATTCAATACGAGACAAAAACTCGTTCATTTCTATGGGATTTAAGGAGGTAGAAATTGGCATACATACAGTGAGGTCGCCCGCATAATTCACAAAAGTGTTTTCTGTAAAAGATGGCAGATCATGCAGAAAAAAGGAGAGGTGAAAGAACAGCTCCTTGTGGCACACCTACAGTAGAGATGTTGAACACATTCCTTCAAAAAAAATGTACTGTTCTCTTCCAGAAAGGTAGGAACATAGTCAATCGGTTATCCAGCTGTCAGTGGCGACGCTAATCAGCTTGTTAAGTAAAAGGTGTTTTAGAATAAAATCAAAAGCAGAAGTAAAGTCTAGGAAAGCGCATCGAACATACTTCTTACCCTTTTCCAACCCGAACACTATATTGTGATACAGAACAGCAACGGCATCTAATGTGCTTCTTTTGCATTTGTAAGCAAACTGATATGGATCACAGTGCTTTTTTATTGCAGGTTGAAGTGGGAGTATCGGTAATTTTTCCATTATTTTAAGGAAAGGTGAAGTTATTGCAATGGGTCTAAGTTTCGCATTTTTATCAGCAGAAGCTTTCTTTGGTATAGGGATTATCTTTATCCACATTTTCGGTAAGACATTAGTTGAGAAGGATCTGTTAAAGATATTCGTTAACGGATAACATAAAACAGCACATTTTTTAAAAAGGAGGTTTGGGATACCATCAGGTCCTAAACATTGGGATGAATTAAGTGATTGGAGACATTTTCGGACATCATTTTCAGTGAAACTGGAAACGCAATTATTCTTCAGACCCTTGGATATAGGGAGCGTGATGTCAGATGACTGACGTATAAAGGACTTATTTAAGTCACAAGCGGTCAGCTGGTTATCGCTTCTAGTCTTCCTGTAATTTCTTTAAAGAGTGTCCACGTACTTGCAGAGCTTTTACAAGATAAGAGTTTTTGAGTAAACACAGAGTTGAGACGTCTAATCTCTTGGTTTATTTGACCATTTAACTTACGAACTTCAGTAGTATTTTTCTCTTTGTACATCCTTTCTTTTACCCTCCGTAGTCGTTTTAGTTGTGGAGATGTAAGTCAATCAAAACTTAAAAAGGTTTCGGTAGGACAGCAAATATCAAAACAGAACTTAAGATAACAGGTGATAACATCATTCGTGTTTTCTATTGAGTCATCTGTAAATAATTCCCAGTTGGTCGTACGAAACATGCTTTTTAGATTTTGTAAATTTTCTTCGGAGTAATTCCTGTATATTACTTTTTTAGTATGGTGTATGTGTGTACTCTTTCCATGTTTACCATATACTTTAGGTAGAACACGAATTATACAGTGATCCGAGCTAGACAATGGAGCACGTTAGCGAGTCACATAGGTACCCAGATCATTAATGAAAACCAAGTCCAAATGAGCATTCAAACGAGTAGGAAAATCTACTACATTTAAGTGATCTAGTGATGTAAGGAAGCTACAGTCACATGAGTTGAAATCACCAATTACAATTGAAAGTGAATCACTGAAGGCAGTAACGGCGAATTCAGTAAATTTATCAGCGAAGCTAGATAGCGCAGATGACGTGCAGTCTGGAGTCATGTAGTTATTGGTAAAATAAATATATTTGTATTTATTCAGGTGTTTTGACGGCACCTTAAAGTTAGACAGTCAATAAACTCTTTTTAAAACTTGAAACAGGCAAAAGTAGATCGACACCAGTTAACCTTTACAAACGTAGCTACTCCGCCACCACAGGTCTTTTTGTTGTTTGATCGACCCGGACGATAGATATTAAAATCACGTAATGATACTAAGCAATCATTCTGTAAGTCAGTGAACCAAGATTCTTGAATTGTGATGACACCACTATTACGATACATGTTTTGACTTAGCAGAAATTGGAGGGTCTACATTGTTAATTAGAGATCGACAGTTAGAATTAAGCAGGATGATGTTCGATTGTGAACAACGTAATATTGAGTGACATAAGAGTAGGACGGCGATTTTCACTTTGCGGTTGCTCGTATAGTGCATGGATAATTGCTTCTGAGGTACCTGAAAAGGAAACTGGGCTAGTAGTTATTTTGGTGATCTGAGAAGGTGACTGCAGCAGTTAAATGAGAAATTCAGATCGGTTCTACATGGGCTTTTAGAGAGTTGTTTTTAATGTGTTACATCTGTACTTTAGAGGATGGGAATCAGTAAGGTAAGGTAAGTTTAGCTGGATCTAATCCCAATCTTTTCAAACTCGCTTTGTCTGTTGTAAAGACGCAAGATAGCTGTCATTGCTGTTTGTCAGTGAGAAGCACGTTAGTACTGTCACATCGCAGTACTTTTCCCTTGAGTATGATGATTATAGACTAATCACTTTCTGACTAAGCTGTCTAGAATATCGGGAAAAATGTCATAGACGATATAATTCACTTGGATCATCATGATATGTAAGCTTGATCACTACTTCATGTTCAAAATTACGGTCGGGGTTGATACGATGACAAGTTGTGAAAGATATATGCCATTTACATAAAGAGGAAGAAGCAATAAGAGTATAAAACTCAACAAAATTTAATTTATTTCTGAGTAGTAAAGAGTTATTAAAGAAAAACACACAACGTATAACTACTACTACTAACATTCAATATCAGCTGGATTCAATATTGTTTTTTGTTGTTCTTCATCTTCATCATCATTTGAATATAATCCACAATGTTTAAATAAATTCATATATACAGTAAATATTTGTTTAGTATTTGATCTAAAATATGATGTAATCAATTGAGTATATTTTGATTCATCCGGTTTTAAATTCCATATTGATTTATTTTCACATAATTTAATTGATTGTTTTAAATAAAAACTAATTTGTTTAATTTGTTCAATAGGATATAAATTAGCCATAATCATATCCATTTTAGGATAATATAATTTATTATTAAGTTGTATAGCAACATCATCATCATTATAATAAGAAATTAAAAATAAATTAAATAATTGATTACATAAATTATTTAAACCATATAACCAAATTATAATAAATAATGTAATAAATAAATTAATTATTAAATAAAATTTATATAAACTATACCGTGATGATGATGATTGTTTATTAAATGGGATATATAAATAAATAAAAAATATAATAAATGTAATAAATAATAAACAAATAAATAGAAATTGAAATAATTGTCTATCCATTGGATGATAAAATGGAAATTTTATTACATTTTTATATGAATATAATTGAATCATACCAAGTTTATGATGATCATAATGATGATGCATAGATTGTTGCATAATTATTTTCCATAATATATTAAATAAATTATTCATTGCAATCATATCCTCTTTTATAATAAGGATATAATCATTATTATATTGTTCTTGGTGTTGTTTATTATTAATTAAATCAATTGATTTAAGCATACAATTTGACATATCATTAATAAATTGACAAGGAATAGATAAATTTATATAATTTGTTAATTGATTATTACGTAATGGATAAATTGAATATTGACCAATAAGTTTTATAATTTCATATATATTAGATAATTCATTTATGTTAGTTCCATTTAAACAAATCATTATATAAATATATTTAAATCGATAACCATATTTTGTAATATCATCAAATATTAATTTAATTAAAGTTGATATTGATTGAATTAAATAATTCGGTTGATAATAATCAATTTGATATTGAACACGATTTGATGTCATAATACTAATAACAATACCAGGTTTATTATTTAATGATTGTGGTGCTTCATAAACAAATGGTATTTTACCTTGATGATACCAATCATACATTAATGTACGTAAATGAGCTAAACGTAATTCTTCATGATCTCTTATAATAGATGCATGATAATTTATATTCGGAAATCGATAATTGTTAATTATGATTAAAAGAAAATATATGAAAATTGATAAAATATTTATTTTTAGAAAAATGTGTAAAAATTTATATGTTCGAAATAATCGATTGATTTTAATTAATTGATTCATTGATCAGAATTAACTTTTGTTTGTTCAGTGTTATTTTATATTTATTGAGTTGTCATGGTGATAGACATACATACATTTTGAAGCAAAATATGATGAGAAAATAAATTGCTTGAATGATAGACGACATTTATTTATAAGTGGAACTAAAAAAAAAACTATAACAAACACTAAATTGTTAGTGCGACGGATTTATAGAGATTGTCCGATTTCATAGTTTACACCAAAGAATAGTCTCAGTTAAATAACCACTAAAAATCAGAAATCATCGAACTACTGTTTTGTCTTAATATGAAATTCTTCAGTAGTGGGTATCCACAACCTCGTTATGTATCTTTAGGTTTTACTGTTTAGTGTTTTTAGGCTTCCAGTGTTTGCGTTACTAAGGTCAGTCCGTGACATTAATATCTCCACAAACCCTACATACTAATACTAATTATGTAATCACTAGTGGCTAATTTCGAGAGGTAATTCTCAGAGAGCGAGTGAGATCAAATAAGTTCGATCATGGGATGAGGGAGACGATTACTAAAAGCAATGAAACATGGTTGTATAATATCACGAATTTATTGGAATTAGAAATGCGAACCAATGCTTTCAGACTTAGAAGTCTAAAGGTTAACTGTTGGTTGAGAACTGACGGTTTCGGGTTCGATCCCTAGTGGGGTTGTGGGTGCGCACCTCTGAGGATTCTCGCACTAGAATAGAAAAGTTGTTCAGTGCTTCTCAGTTTTCAACGGTTGTGCGACTATGCTTGATTAGTGATTTAAACTTTAAAGCTAAGTTAGTTATTCATCAACATAGGACTACCAAGCAGGGATGGTGTATCGACACTAATCGTTAAGTATATAAGCACAGAGAGAGAAAGTTTACGAGACGAAATGCGTAGGACAGGAGTTAGCATCAACAATTCGAAATGGAATCCATGAGGTTGTACGATGAAAAGTTCTTGATTTGGAATTAAGAGTGAAATAGAAAATGAATACGCTGAAACCTTTCGGTTTTGTTCTCTAGAATTTATATGGATTGCCTAATATTCATAGATATAACGATAATCCATTACGACCACTATTATCTAAGCGTGGTTTACCTACACATAAACTGGCGAAATGGTTGGTAAAACTGTTAACTCCTATCCATAACAAACTATGTAAGTTTTCCTTAAAATATACATTTGAACTAATTGATCTTCTTGAGGACATTAATATTAAATATAAGACTTTGCATTCTTTTGCTGTAAACTTTCCTTTTGCGAGTGTACTGTTAACTAAGACTGTGAATTTCCTTTGTGATCATATATCTTATAATTACCCACTTTTTCCTATTCGGTCAACACTGTTGAAAGAATTACTTTTGTTATGTACTGCAAATGTTCAGTTCACATTTAAAGGTGAATATTTTCGATAACTTGGTGGTGTTCTATGGGAAGTGCTTTGGGGGCCTCTTAGCTGATGTAATTATGTCATATGTTGGAAACATGACAAGTGGCCTCATCAGCGAGGTAACTCTATATAGAAGATACATTAGTTATACGTGACAAAGATTTTGAGGTTCGCCAGTTATTAGATAAACTCAATGGGGTACAAAACGATATCGTAATGACCTATGGAGCGAAAAATAAAGGCCGACTGCCCTTTTTACATATATATTTGAATCGAAGGGAGGATGGTACCATAGGAAAACAACTTAGACGGGGCAATGTTTAAATTTCCATAGTTTATGTTCATTGCAACAAAAGCGAGGCTTGGCTACGTGCCTCTGTAATAGGATTCGAAGATTATGCATCACTGATACGGTTGAAGATGGAAAGTAGCTGATTGACACACTAATATCAAATAGTTATTCATCAAAGTTTATAAATAGGTGCAAAAACCAGTCAACACTGAGACCTCTTCTTTATTCGGTTCTGAAGAAAAAAGTTTATATCTATTTATCTATCATATAAAGGTGAATCCAACAGTATAACTTTAAGTAAGAGATTAAAAGCAGCCTTCGAGAAAACCTGTTATGCTGCCAAACTGGTTGTGATTAAAAAGACTAAGCCCATGATTCCAAATAAACCTACACAACGCACAAAGGATTACGCCACATCCCATCGCATTTACATGTTTATGTGGACACATATACATAAGGGCCCCAAATGCCCTGGTACGGCAGAGAGTGGGGAGAGTCCGCTCTCCCTCTCCAAATGCTCTCACATGGCCACGCGAATATATAGCCTCTGCCAGGGAAGTCCTACTCACTGCTTTCTCGTGGCGGGGGTGTTGCTTACGAAAGTGAGAGGACGAAAAGCGAATGTCTCATTCGAGCCACTGGTAGCAAGAAGTCTGGTGTGAGTGAAACAATCTACGAGGATGACGGGATGCAATCACTAACATCTCTCGACGTCTTGGACGATGGGCGGAATTTTTCAAAGGGCAGTTCAACTGACCTGCTGCTCCGGCAACATCAACCAGTTTGTCCTGCCCCCCATGGCCGGTGATGACTGATCCACCAAACGAGGCGGAAGTCCGCAAGGACTCCAACTCTTGAAGAGCTACAAATCACCTGGCCCAGATGACTTACCTCCGGCTCTTTTTAAAGATGGTGGTGAATTTCTGGCTAAGAAACTGACTGTGTTGTTTGCAAAGGTTTGGGAGCTAGAAAGTGTTCCAACATCATGGAATGAGTCAATAGTCATCCCTATCTTTAAAAAGGGTTCACGTTGTTCCTGTAACAACTATCGGGGGATAAGTCTACTTCCGATTGAGTCCAAACTATTGGCTTCTGTCATTCTTCGTAGGTTGTTTAAAACCCGAGAACGATTGACTCGTGAGGAGCAGGCTGGTTTTCGTTCTGGTCGAGGATGCATTGATCCTATCTTCACCCTCCGCCAAATGTTAGAACACCGTCATACTTATCACAGGTCAACAATCGTAGTGTTTCTTGATATCAGGGCTGCCTTCGATTCGTCGGACAGGACTGTTCTCTGGGATTGTCTATTGAAGAAGGGTGTGCCTGAGAAGTTCATTAACATCTTAAAGGCCCTGTATACAAACACCTCAGGCAGAGTGAGGGCATACAACCACCTTTCTCCATTGTTCCATTCGAGCAGTGGAGTTAGGCAGGGTTGCCCAATCTCACCATTCCTCTTCAACTTTGCCATCGATGACATCCTGGAAACAGCTCTGATGGATGTAAGTAATGGCGGTGTGGATCTGCTGCCTGAAGAACGACTTCTCGACCTCGAGTATGCGGATGATATTGTCTTACTGTGCGATAATGTCCAAGGCATGCAATCCGCACTTAATCAGTTGGCAATCAGTGTCCACAGGTACGGCATGTGCTTTTCACCCTCCAAATGCAAAGTACTCCTACAAGACTGGCAGGATTCTAATCCTGTACTCACCCTGGATGGTGAGCAGATTGAAGTAGTTGAGAAGTTTGCGTATCTAGGTAGCTATATAAGTGCTGGTGGTGATGTGAGTGATGAGATTGATGCACGTATAATGAAAGCCAGAGCGTCTTATGCCAATCTGGGTCATCTTTGGCGCGTTCGTGATGTTAGTCTGGCTGTAAAAGGTCGGATCTACAACGCGTCGGTGAGAAGTTTTGCTCTATGCTTGTAAAACATGGCCTCTCCGAGTTGAGGATGTTAGACTTCTCTCTTTGTTCGATAATCGTTGTTAGTAATGCAGAGGTTCGGCATCGTATGTTCGGGCGCAGGGACGATAATTCAATTGGTGTCACCATCTTGAAACACCGACTTCGGTGGCTTGGACATGTTTTACGAATTTCGTCCCAGAGACTTCCACGCCGTGCATTATTTGCCGACTCTGGGACTGGTTGGAAAAAGCGGAGAGGAGATCAGTGTATGACATGGTGTCGTGGTACGAGAGAAAGCTGTGCAGGACTGGTTTCTGTTGGTCCTTTACGACTCCCTGGCTGGGGTCCGAGAGATGGTGCAACACAGTGGCTAGAGACGTTATCAGACATGGCTCAAAATAGAAAACAGTGGCGATCCTGCTGTAACTTTATTTTACTTTCTTCATAAATCCTTTAACCGGAAGAATTCTTTTCGGTTGTACGTTTGCTAACTGAAATGTTTCTACCATTATTATCATTTCACTCTCGTACACTAATTTCGGTTTGATGTTGTTCTTTGATTAGACACTTTAGATTTTCTATCTCTGCATAACCTGATTGTTATTGTGTGGCGTAAATGTATTTGGTGACCCTTGTACCAATTTTTGTGTTTAAATAAATAATTATCATACGTACAATACTAAAAGTCTATGAGGCAAAACCGTTTTTAAAATTCATGACGTATGCTGTTGTAAAGCTGACATTAAATAATAAATCCATTACGTTGGATTTCCGAAATTTTTATCAAAAAACGGTAAAAAAGGAAACAAAAGAGGTATTGTTTGAGAAATCTGTCGTGAATTTAGGCAACAAGGCTTCAGATTTCCACCCTTCTCGCCAAGCGCAAAAAATCAGTAAGACTTTGCCTAATTTCACACCAAGTTGTCTACTTATCGAATGAATATTTCCAACGTTAGCTAGTATTTCTTTAGGGAAACTAACTTACCTACACAATCAATCTAATTTAAAAGAACGAATCATCTGTGCGAAACCACTTATTCTCATAAATTCTAGTTTGTAGAAAATGTTCACGATATTAGGGCACCAGTCACATGTTTACGTTGTAACCAGTAAGCATAATTATACTTAGCTGAAAAGAAATAGGCGTTAACGATTTATCCGGCGTTTATTGGACATAACTAGGGGTTGGTGATGTCTCCTACTTTAAACGAACAATGATTCACACAACTTTTATTGAATACGTAACATCTGATTTAATGCAGTACATCCAGGTGAGAATGTTGGTATATGCGTAACAAACAATTTATCCGAAAAGCTTGGGCATATTATGAAACATTTCAAATACATCAACGTCCAATTCAGACATTTCTGGCGCTAATAAGCACAATTCGTGTACACTTCAATTTACAGTTAACACACAAACAAGTCGTTTTGGAAGCGCATGGATTGCTGTCGTGTGCAGCAGTCACATTAACGCAAGAATTCCGAATAATAATGCTAGATAAACAAAACCTTAAGACCGCGACTCTACATAGATTTAATAAGAAAGTGCTGATTGATTCACATGAATGGCTAGGATTGACCTAGAATGACCTAGGATTGGTCACAACTGTTGGTTAGAGCTTTTGAACGACAGGATATCGTAATTGAGTTGTAGTTTCAGTTGGCTGAAACTGATTTTACCTAGCAAGCGTGGTTTTAGTCCAATGTGGCAGTACACTCTTGTGTCCAGAAACTTGGGTTTCACATTATAGCAACGACTAAGTACACTTCGGAGGGATATGAGCAGTTCAGGAATGTACACCCGAAAAATGTCCGGAATTCCGTTGGCCTTCTTAATTATGCTACCTCCTTTCATCATCTCAATTGCAACTCTGTCTAGCTGTTACTTCATTGGGAGATGAACAGGCAGAGACATTTCTGTAGTGGGACCACCTACAAATTGTTAAAAAATAAACACACTACCGTTTGTTGCACTGGGTGCACAATGTACGTAACTACAGGAGGCAGTGGCACATTTTGTGATTGCGGATAGCCCATCAAGTTTGACAATTTGGACTGTAACCTGTTTCTTATCCCATTCATTACGTTCTACATTATTAGTCCAAAAGAAACAATTAGCTGTAGTGAGGCTGGACAGGAATAATCTAAGTCTGTGACGGCAAAAACAACTTATCTGCATGGCGCAAGATTTTTGAGAAAGTGGTGTGACCGACGCTTCTTTGACTCATTTCTATTTGACATACTAAAACAAAACCATAACGTTGGTACAGTAACGCTGATTGAAATCATATGATAGCAGTGGGATCCCACTGCTCATATTAATTATGGATAAACTTTTAAAAGGAAGCCAAGAAATCTTCGGTATTTAATCACTTACTTCGGAATACGTAGAGAGTACATTGACATATTTTGTCGCTGACGAGTTCATTATGTCATTGCATTCACCTCAGTTATTTCCATCTGCAAGCAATGACCTTGAGTGAAATGAAGCGCGGTAAATAACAGTGATACGTTGGATCTTTTAAAACACTGACATTTCACATGAAGATGAGAAAAAAAGTAAGGCATGAGGTATATGAATAAGTGTACAAAAAGATGAAAGTATGGTTTACAATGTTAATGACTTCGGAAAATGTAAAATCACAAAGGTACAGATGAATGGTGATGTTGGAGTGTTCGTGTCAATTAGCTCAATGTCAAAAATGAAATAAATACACCACAGATAAGATGATTAAAGAGAATCAGAGGAAGTGTGGGTAAGGAGGTTGCGAAAAATAAAATATGATTGTCGTATCAACAGATCAAGACTTGCAAACAAGCAATCGATAAGTGCTCTCTGTAACTCCATTTCACTAAACTCTAGGGAAGTAGCTGTACTCTTAAAGAGAAGACATCACTTGATTCATACAAAAATTGAAATAAAATATACCAAAGCTGGCTGTCAGACGCGGTCAACCGAATTGATATAGGTGGTTGAGGTTTTCGACGTTAATTTACTACTAAGTCAAGGGTTCAAATACTGCTCCAATTCCGTTTGGAAAACCAGCAGTATCACTAGTCCCCACTATCAGAAAGTGGTCCGGAACCAAATACACGGACCTATAACTGATAAATGAGCTAATACAAAACCAAAATACCCATCGTTCTAAAAGTCAATGTATTATCCCGACCAGTAATGAAAATTACGACTTACTTTACACCATTTGTTTGTAAGCACAAAGTAGGTGTTCACATTTTCTTCACCGAATTGTTCCGCAATAGACGAGCCTACGCTTCCATATTTTTCATAAATACTCCGTTTCACAGGATCAGTTAAAATACGATAAGCACGATTAATCTCCTTGAACTATTGATTTAGGAGAGAAATATATAATCAGAAGAAAATCATGAATGGGATATAGGACATTAAATGGTGTAAAATGGAAAAATACTTTTTATGAGTGAATACTCATTGAAGATGAAATGGTGGCTTAATGGTTTAACATGCCTAACCTCCAACTAATAGGTGGAAGGCTCGAATCCCGCTCCATCATTTAATTCCGTTTAGGCAGCCACGTAGTGTCATTGGCTCCAACACAAAGTGTGGCTGAATGTCAGGTAAACAAACCTGTACTTAATGAATGGGTTATACTCATTAGGAACAGCATAACTTACGTGATCCATGCTTTGTGAATGGGTATATTTCTATTTTGATTTGGCTAAACTTACCTTTCTTCCATCATACTCCTAATTAGTCTGAAATTGCATGTCGAGGTAGGCAGTGGTTGAGCATACGTAACACGTCCTAGACACTTCCATTATAAACGATTCAAGACCTTATCAATCAATTCATTATGTCTGCTTAATAATTTACATCCTTCATCTGACCGTTGTTAACAATAGTCATTGATTTCTTCAATTTATGCCTTTAAGTTACTTTATATAACATTTAAAGTGGTCAGTTTTTACAAACCTGTTCATTGTGAGATACAAAGAATATACGAGTTTACATATATCTAGTTTATTTTAGAAGAGAATCAAGACTGACGCGATAAGAGCCTTACAAATTGGAGGAAATATCAATCCGATCCCAGTCAAAATACTCTCCATCTATGGAGATGAACTCGTCTCATCTTCGGCTCCATTGTTATAAACATGACTAGAAATCCTCTGATGTCGACTTTCGTGGTTGCGCATCGCATAATTTGCAGTACTTTAATGAAATCGTTGTTATCGTTAACGGGTTATTGAATTGATTTCATTGTTCGTCTTGTGGGCGAATAATAGAACCTTTCAGGTGCTGCAATTATTTAACTTTCAACAGCTTGTTAGGATTTCATATATTATCTTGATTGACACATGACTAATTGTCATTTTTTAAATGCCCATTTGACGAACGTTCCTATATTTGGCCGCTAGATTCTGTATACCCGTCTCTAAATTTTTCATTTGACATTATCTTTGAAAGCCAAGTATTGGTCAGAATCTCCACAGGATAGTCATCTTCTTCCTTCAGTTGACTTGTCTGTGCTTGTAAGTTTCATTTAAACATTCGGCTGAATGCAAAAAGTTAGATATATAATTTTAGTTGCGCCTCACGTTGGGCTCAAACAAGCACTAAGAAGCTCTGAAATTGCCGAAGACATTCCATTCAATCATCGTTTGAGTGAACATTCCAGGATTTCGGAGTGTACCTTCACGACTAGACAAATGCAAAAAACCACTGCATGCCGACTGGGTGACTGAAATGGTGATATCATTTTTACTGAAAATTATAAATAATAATAATAATATATTCTGAAAATAATATTTACAGAATTCACACCAGTTTACAGGCATGATCAGATAGTTATAAAAATCAACATTTAATGCAGAGAAGAAACATGAAATATAAGAAAGTTTTATGTTTGCTGGTTTAGTAATTGATAAATGGTTTAAATATGGCATATGTCACGGCAAGGCAATGCAACACCAGGGAACTTGTCATTTTTTTATAAAGTGGATAGCCTGATGATTGATCAACATTGTTCTGTAAGGTTATTACCAGTGCCAGAGCGAGTTATTATTAATTATCTACAACTAGAGAAAGTAAGATTAAAGCAAAGAGCACGGAACAACAAAACAATGATAGCAAGTAAGAGGTTAAACATTTAAAGTTCCTATAATCTCACTTGTGGAGTAAGATACACTTTCAGGCGCTAGAGCATTTAATGCATTTTCAGAGGAGCAAAAAGCATTAATTGAGCGAACAAACAATGGGAGAGAGTCTAACATACGGATAGTTTGGGGTAAATTATTCCAGAGTCTAGAAAACTTACAGGTAAAGTAATTCATATAGAGAGATCTAGAATATGTTTGTTTTGCTAAAGACAAGGAGTTACGAATGTCGTAATGTGAAGCCTTAGCATATTGAATCGCCTGACTGGATGTGAAGGAGAGTTTGTTAAGTATTTTGAAAAAGAAGATAAGGTTAAGTTTGAGTCTCCTCATCCATAAAGGGTCAAGCCCTAGTTTACTACACCTCGAATTATATGTCAAGACACTAACAGGTCCAAGAGTACGAAATGTAAATCGTCTCTGTACTGATTCCAGTCTTAATTTATTCTTTAATGCGCGTGCTACTAAGGAGATACGCGCAGTATTCGAGGAGTGATCGAACACAGACTTTGTACATTAGAATACGAGATTCGCTGTTATGAAGGTTTCGAGCTATGAAACCTATAAGGCGTTGAGACTTGGACGTTTGTTTCATTATCTGTTCAGTAAACGACAAGTCGTCGGAGTACCTAAGTCCTAGATCTACTACTGTGTGTAACCTAGATAACATTTCCCCATTTATGGTAAGATTAAGGTCGAGTGATGCATCGCCGAAGCATAGCCAACCACATTTAGCTGTATTGAGCTCCAGTTGCCATTTCGAGCACCACTGTGCTACCTTGTTAAGCTCCGTGCTGATACAATTTTGAATATTGCTCAGCTCATGTGGAGAAAATGAGTACACCACCTTAAGATCGTCTGCAAACAAAAGGGACTTACCCACACTAAAACACTCACAAATATCATTAATGAAAACTAAAAAGAGCAAAGGACCTAAGACACTACCCTGAATTACCCCACTTCTGGAGCTCAAAACAATTGTCAACCAACACCAAGGTTAGAATTTTCAATACAAATGTCAAGACAGTTCTTCTGTATGGGGCAGAGACGTGAAGAACTACGAAAGCCATTATCCAGAAGATACAAGTGTTTATTAACAGTTGTCTACGCAAGATACTTCGGATCCGATGGCCAGACACTATCAGCAACAAGTTACTGTGGGAAACAACAAACCAGATTCCAGCGGAGGAAGAAATCAGGAAGAAGCGCTGGAAGTGGATTGGGCACACTTTGAGGAAATCACCCAATTGTGTCACAAGACAAGCCCTCACATGGAATCCTGAAGGTCGAAGGAGAAGAGGAAGACCAAAGAACACATTACGCCGAGAAATAGAGACAGACATGAGAAGAATGAACAAGAACTGGAAAGAACTAGAAAAGAAGGCCCAGGACAGAGTGGGTTGGAGAAAGCTGGTCGGCGGCCTATGCTCCATTGGGAGTAACAGGCGAAAGTAAGTAAGTAAGTAAGTAACAGGGACTGCGTTCGACAATGAAGAGTTGATTTTAACTATTTGATGTCGATTGCTGAGGAAGGAATCAAACCAGGCTAGTAACGGGTTTTGGACCCCATAAGATGCGAGTTTACCTATGAGAAGTTGGTGGTTGACCATGTCGAAGGCCTTAGAAATGTCCAGGTATAGCACTAATACTAGATATCCTTGGTTACGAAGCGAATAGACTAAATTAAAGAAGTCAAAATGACATGTCATACAGGATCGATTTTTAAGAAATCCATGTTGCGAATCATCAATAAATTGTTCAGTCAATAAATAGTTGGATAGTTCGTCACTAATAATTTTTTCCATAATCCTAGAGTTAACTGGAGTAATATTTATTGGCCGATAGTTGTTCATGTCAGTCTTATCTCCGGATTTGTAACGTGGTATGATGTACGCGGTTTTCCAACGGTCAGGATAAGAGCCTGATTCCATAGAGAGGGTAAACAGTTTACGGAGAAGAAGCTGGATATCTGGACCACCATATTTGTAGAGAAATGATGAAATCCCGTCTGCACCGTGACCTTTTGAAACCTTGAGTTTATTTATAACCTTACTAATTTTCAGACATGTGAAGGAGATAGATGTTATTGAGTTACCAGTCAAGCATATAGCTCTAGAAACAGAGCCATTTATGGATTCTTTACCATTTGCAAAATTACCACTGAAAAGGTCTGCTATAGTTTTTGGGTCATATATAAAACTATTATTATGCAGGATGCATGGCATATCAACATTTTGAGTTGATTTAGCACGTTTATTGTAAAGGTGGATAAGGTTTTGCACTTTTGAGCTAGTACGTAGTGCTAATAGCTCTTCATTGATGGCTTTTAACATATGTTTCTCTTTAATTTGGTTAAAAATTATTGTTATTTGTGTGACTTCCGTGAAGTCGTTAGATTTAAAATAACGTTTCTTTAGGCGTCTTAGTTTATTACGATATTTAGCTGGTATATATAATTCGTGATGTTTACTAATCCTGTAAGTCTTAATTGGTGCACAGGAGTCTAGACAAGAGTTAACAATGAAATAGAATATGTTGATGGCATCTGTCAGACTATTACATGAGAAGAATTCATCCCAGTCTGACAGTTTGATCAGTGAGCGCAAGAGGTCCCAGTCTGCATGCTTATAGTCTCTATAATTGCAGGTTCTTTGAATTGGTCGGTTGTAGGAGGGATAGATGGGGAGAGCACAAGCTACTATCCTATGATCACTGCTTTCAAACTCGTTGTATACTTGTCCAGATGGGGGAATGATATCTCTACTAAATATTAGATCAAGTGTATTATCACCCCTTGTTGGGGTGCTTTGTACCGTACTTGCACTGTGTGAAATAAAATTCCTTCCCACTCATCTTCTGACCTCTACCTTGGGACTTGAAAGGTTCAAACTTTCGAGTGCCCACGTTGTACGCTGTTAGGCCAAGATCCAGGTTCTGGATAATGAAACCTACATCTAATTGCTGAACATGCTGTGAATAGCATTACAAGAAATTATGTCTATGTAAAAACTGCAGTTGTGCTAAGTGTTAGCGTAAAGGATACAAGAATTCCTGCTGTAAAGGGAAGATATATCGTCGTTGTCCACCGCGATTTTATTACAAGAGACGTAAGTCTCTCGCATCAATCAACCAAACAATGGTAGTACACACGTAAACAGAACGTTATTTTTGACGAAAACATGTAACCATCGACGTTAACGACCACTGTTCACGCCTGCGGCTCGACATTGCTTCCGACATCGCACTCGTCAGCCAAAAAACCTGGAAGCATATTGAAAATACCATGGTGCTCTCAACAGCCCAGTTAGCCCATAGTACATCTGGTGGGAAATGAAATATTGTTGGAACAGCTAGCCAACAGTTCTAATAATCATATTTGCAGTCGCGTGGAAACTAACAAACCAGCGGAGAAGAACCTGAGAAACACCGTACTGGAGAGACATAGAAAAAGTGATCAAGGAAGGATTGAGTGACTGCGGTTAAGGCACTACTAGTCCTAAAACCGGGAGCCACCCCAGTTTTTAGAC